TTTTTTTTATTTTTTAATTTTTAATTTAATTTTTTATGTTTAAACTTTTTTATGTTTAAACTATGTTTAATTTGAAACTATGTTTTTTTGACTTCAATGAAGTTTACAGCTCTCCCTTCAAACCCCAACTACTGCACTGCTCAATTACAAGAGCTAAAAGTTGTTTAGATTTCAAAAATTTTCCAAGAGATTGTATGATTCATTATAGAGTGAAATACATTACCAAAGAATGGCACCCACTGCTTTTCAGCGATAAATTTTAACATATGCTTGCTGCATTCTCCAAAAGGTTTTCCTCTTTTTCCAGCACATTTTCCATAGTGTCGGATTCTTCTGCCTGAAAATATATTTAAGTACGGGACTTTCTCTTTTTTCTTTTTCAATGTTAATGACAAGGAACAATACGTCCATCGAGACATGACTATCTGGAAGAACTGACAAAAAGTACAACTATAAAAATCACTCTCTAAACTAACACATTATAACGTAAAGGCAAACATGCAAGTATCACATGAGTTTATGGAGCCGGTAACTGTTGGCTTTACCTCATTTCGTGCTGATTTAGCCACTCGTATCCGACGTTTGATAATCACAGTTTGACCTGGCTTAATACCTACTGCTTCTACAAACGGTCGAGGTAAATGTTGCAACTTCATACGTTTTTTCATACCAGTCAAAGGATTCGTGAACATCACAATATTCGGCATATCATCTTTTGATGGCCTTTTCTCCACTTCTTGGGTCTCCGATGACAAAGTTTTTTCCGACACACAATCTTGCGGATTTTCAGCAGTACTTTGATAGGTTTTCTATAAAATTGATGAATTCATGATGTTTTTTTATCTCTTTAGTAGATAAACCGTGTCCGACTGCAGTCCAGCACCATTGAGATACGTTTAATGATGCATAAATAACAAATCATTTTAGAATTTTGACTAAAATGAAAAAAGGTCACCTTGGATTCATCTGAAGAGGATGTAATCTTCCGTCGTTTTCGCAAAATTGATGGTTTACATACATGCAAACGTTCAGAACGCTCCGGCCGTGATACAGAGGGCTGGAATCATAAGTTTAATTTTCTATAGGTTAAAAACTAATAAAACGTGTCCACAATGTTTCTTTTTTATCCAACCCTACCTCATCGTCAATGAAGCAAACTAGCAGCTCATGGAGGATGACAGCTCATCTAAATCTCAATAAACTATAGCAGTCATCATAGACCACCTTTACTGGAAGATATTACTCGCCATAAAAAAAGTGCAATAAATGGTGTATGCCATAAATGGTGTACACCATGAATAGAGTCAATAATGATATAGTTTTAAGAATAACCCACATATCTTATTCCATAAGATAGCATAGAACTAGAAATAAGAGAAGAAAAAGAAACACAAATAGGTTCAAAACACGCACCATTTCATCGATTTCATCATCATTAGCAAGACTTTCAAGATATGTTAATGTCTTGGTAACAGGCTGTGACATCGAACGTTGTAGAAATAAATGAGGAGCAAAATCTTCATGTGATGGATCGCTGGATGGTCGACCCTGTCGAAAATGTACACTGCATACCTGTAGATCATAACAATTGATAATAAACTAACAATACATAAAATTAAGTCAGTGTTTAAAAAAAAAATGTAAAAAGCGACGTATATCATTCAATGAATGGAGTTGGTAATAATAAGCTTCTAAGAGCATCAATTATTTCGTTTGATGAAGAATGGCATTACTTGGAATGGTAAGAAACTTCATTCTATATTTCAACATTTCGGGAAGTATATTTTACAATATTGGAAGCAAGGTTCCAGCTAATTTACATTTCTGAAAGCCTTAATGAAATTTCAAGTTTTCTATTAAACAACGTGTCGCCAAAACCGCATATGATGATCTTCAACTCTGGTCGAACGAAAGTATTAGAAAACAAAAAGTTTAGCTTTATTTATCATTATTTGAATATGGACATAATTCAACTCCCGTAGTAAAAAAATAGAACCAGTAATATTACATAATATGACTTTGAAACGATACTATATGGCATAAGAAACAAAATTTTGTTAATTATAGTCTTTGGCTTGAGGTTCAAACCAAACATAAGGTTAAGTTTTGGTCTCAGTTTCAGAATTAGACTCACGTACAGCCACAGAGTTAAGTTAGACTGTAAAATTCTGATTAAAAATTAGGGTTAAAAGCTTACGCTTACATTCAACCTCAGATTTCGGATTCAGTCGTGACTAGCTAGAACGTGCAACATATTGTGATATTTCGGCTGCAAATTAACAAGATACAATAACCTATGCGAACCTGCTAATGAAAGCAATGAGTGCAGATATAAAAAGGAAGCCTAAAATAGTCTTACTAATGAGTTCACTATTTCAGCAACAGATATTCCTCAAATATAAGAATGATGAGGAAATGCACAAACTTTATCTTTGGGTGATAATTCTCGATCACCAATAGCGCATAACCATTTTACACGTTTTAAGCCTGGTTCACGTGGGATTCCGTAAAATCTCAATACTGGACCATTGGTACGTCGATACCAACCACAGAAAACACACTTTTCCATTGATTTTGAAACGAATACTTTAAATTCTCATGAACGTTAAACTATATCGACCGATTGATTGATTGATTGGATTTTATTATCATGTGATACTTTTGCCAGTGATATTCATTATGGACATATATCATACCTGAAATCACTTCACTCAGTAAACATTTTAACAACTCCAGACAACGGGGGAACAAACAACTCTAAATCCCAAATGCTGCGACAATCAGTATCAACAATATGACAATATCTCTTTCGTTTTGCGGTGGCGTTGCCGTGGTTCAATACATTCTAGGTATATTTTAAAATAGAAATCTTCTGGAGTGATCGGGAGCAACCGGGAATTCCGGACATTTGAAATATGTCTAAAAAACTCCCATTCATTAATTACTGTGACAAACCTCTTTCTTATCCCGTTTGTAAAACAATACTTTTTTCCGTATGTTAAAAACGGATTTGTTCGATAAATTTGAATTTATATTGGATTATCCATGGCAATGATGAATTTTGGATGAAATTCAACGAGATTTAATAGATAAAGCATGATACGGTTGCTTTCTCTATAGCTTTTACTTACCCATAACTTTGTAACTTTACCCACAAGTTTTTTTAGTTACCCATAGCATTGTTATTATTATTTATTACTTATTATTTATTGTTTGTTATTTATTATTTACTATTCACTATTCGTTGTTTATTGCTTACTGTTTATTGTTTATTATTTGTTATTTATTATTTGTTATTTATTATTTATTATTTATTATTTATTATTTATTATTTATTATTTATTGTTCATTATATATTATTTGTTATTCATTATTTATTACTTATTATCTATTATTTGTTATATATTGTTTATTATTTATTGTTTATTATTCATTATTTATTATTTATTACTTGTTATTTATTATTTGTACTCACAATTTGTTATTTGTCATTTATTATTTATTATTTATCATTTATATTAATTATTATCTATTAATTATTAATCATTTATTATTATTATTATTATT